ATTTTTTACATTAAATATATTAAAAAAGAAAGAAAAAAAGATTGAAGGTATATTTAATTTTTGTTATGAACCTTAAAAAAATAAATAAATAAATAAAAATAAAAATAAAAAATTGTTAACATTAAATATATTAAAAAAGAAAGAAAAAAAGATTGAAGGTATATTTAATTTTTGTTATGAACCTTAAAAAAATAAATAAATAAATAAAAATAAAAATAAAAAATTGTTAACATTAAATATATTAAAAAAGAAAGAAAAAAAGATTGAAGGTATATTTAATTTTTGTTATGAACCTTAAAAAAATAAATAAATAAATAAAAATAAAAATAAAAAATTGTTAACATTAAATATATTAAAAAAGAAAGAAAAAAAGATTGAAGGTATATTTAATTTTTGTTATGAACCTTAAAAAAATAAATAAATAAATAAAAATAAAAATAAAAAATTGTTAACATTAAATATATTAAAAAAGAAAGAAAAAAAGATTGAAGGTATATTTAATTTTTGTTATGAACCTTAAAAAAATAAATAAATAAATAAAAATAAAAATAAAAAATTGTTAACATTAAATATATTAAAAAAGAAAGAAAAAAAGATTGAAGGTATATTTAATTTTTGTTATGAACCTTAAAAAAATAAATAAATAAATAAAAATAAAAATAAAAAATTGTTAACATTAAATATATTAAAAAAGAAAGAAAAAAAGATTGAAGGTATATTTAATTTTTGTTATGAACCTTAAAAAAATAAATAAATAAATAAAAATAAAAATAAAAAATTGTTAACATTAAATATATTAAAAAAGAAAGAAAAAAAGATTGAAGGTATATTTAATTTTTGTTATGAACCTTAAAAAAATAAATAAATAAATAAAAATAAAAATAAAAAATTGTTAACATTAAATATATTAAAAAAGAAAGAAAAAAAGATTGAAGGTATATTTAATTTTTGTTATGAACCTTAAAAAAATAAATAAATAAATAAAAATAAAAATAAAAAATTGTTAACATTAAATATATTAAAAAAGAAAGAAAAAAAGATTGAAGGTATATTTAATTTTTGTTATGAACCTTAAAAAAATAAATAAATAAATAAAAATAAAAATAAAAAATTGTTAACATTAAATATATTAAAAAAGAAAGAAAAAAAGATTGAAGGTATATTTAATTTTTGTTATGAACCTTAAAAAAATAAATAAATAAATAAAAATAAAAATAAAAAATTGTTAACATTAAATATATTAAAAAAGAAAGAAAAAATATTGAAGGTATATTTAGTTTTTGTTGTGAACCTAAAAAAAAAAAAGTGGTTGTTAACATTAAATATAAAAAATAAAAATGGAGATTAAAGTGGGTTGGGGAAAATCTATACCCATTAAAAAATAGGGAGGGTGGTACCCATGGGGAATGGGAAAAATTTATTATAGGGGAATGGGGATGGGGAATTAGTATCCACCCCATTGCCCCCCATTGCCATTCCTAGATTGGAGACGGGTTAATTTTATAAGTTAAAAAAATAAAATTATAATAATTTATATTTAATGAAAATTATAAAATATAAAATAAATGAGTAAAATTTAATATCAAGTATAATATTTTAATATTTTCTTTTATTATAGTAAAAAAAAAATTATATATTACATATATAAATATATTTAATAAATATAATTAAAGCTGGGTTGGGTAGAATAGAGCGGAGAAAGCAAAACTCGTCCCTGCCTCACTTTCTTAATGGGATGGGAAAAACTCGGGTTAGGCAGGGGATGTTGAAAAATGGATCAGAAGAAAATGACCATTCCAAAAGTAGGCCCACTAGGTTCGACAACGCATCTCCACTCCAATGAAGAACTAGAGAGAAGTTTGTCTTTTTTTTTTTTTTGAGTTTGGTTTCTCGTAAGTTGTCATTTTAACTTGAGAGAGCATTTGGACCCAGTATGCCCATTTTTTGATCCATTTTAGTGATTTGAATGGTTTAATTTTTAAGATTAGTTTAGTAGAATATTCATGTAAAAAATTAAGATGATTGAACATAGGTAGCTATATGTTTGATCATATTTGTTTGTAAAAAATGGATGATAAATATAATTTCAAGAATAATCATCTATTTTTACAATACAAATTTGATTCAAATATATAGTTACTAATATCCGATCATTTTGATTTTTTACATAAATATTTTATTTAGTAAATGCTAAAAAGTGAACGATTTAAATTATCGAAGTCAATGCGAAAATGGACTTACGAAGCCCAAATCCTCTCTCAAATTGAAATAACCAACATGAGAGAACCTAACCCCTTTTGTTTATAATTTTCCCAAATTATTTATAATAGACATGTTTCTAACTATAAAACAATAAATGAGACTAATTCTTTGTTAAATATAAAATTAAGGATAAATTACACTTTGCACCCTTATAGTTTATATCTAATCTCATTTTACTCTTTGACTTTCTAACTATTTCAATCAATCTCCTAAATAACAAGTCAAGTTAGTTTTAAAAATTGACATAAAAACTAAAGTAGAGGAGCTAAATTGATATTTTGACATGGGGACAAAATGACACTGAAAATAGCATCTTGGGGCCCCAAACTTGAAATTTTACAGTGTAAATTTAAACTTCTTGTGATATGAGTTATACCCAAAAATGAATTTAATTAACATATTTTAAAATCTTGGCATTTTCTAGGTTTTTTTTTTTTTTTTGGGTAGTACATAGAATTATTTAACTATAGTATATAGTAGGAGGATTAGAGATAATTACAAAGTTGTCCCTTTTATCCCTAAAGGTTGCACAGGCCCAGCAGCAACAAACTTGGATCCAAGTAATGTGAGTGACCCTGCTATATCTTTCTTGGTGTTAGGCTCTTTCACAGTTCTTCTATAATTCTTTTACGTGGGATTCACAAAGAAGTGAGATGAACCTTGTGTGAATAGGTTTATTTTCGATTTTTGTGTTTTTAAACTTTCTTCGCTCTTTAAAAACGGAATTTTTATTTCTTCTGAAAATAGGCTGAAGTACCTTTTTATTTATTTATTTATCATAAAATGGCTTGATCATTAGGTCAATTAGATTGTCGTCTAACGCTCATAAGAATTTTTTTTAAAAAAAATTATTGTTAAAGACCCAAACTTTTATAGATTAGTTAAATTATGCCTCATATTTGGATATTTAATTTTTACGTCCTCTAATAATCTTTACCTTGGTGGGATTTTTGTTCCGATAGAAACATTTTTTTCAAAATTCTTATGTCTTTGTGTTGAATAATTTTACCTTTCACTGATGGATAGTGTAAAGAGTCAAGCTAAGCCTGAGGTAGTAGTGAAAATATATATTAAAGCCAATTGAGATTTAAAAAAAGACATTATTAACACATGAAATAATAAATAAATTATGATTATCTTGACAATTATTATTTCTCATAACCCAACAAACCACTATCTCTACAAATTCAGGACGGACTTGGCTATAGGCCAGCAAAGCAACCACTTTGGACCTCAAAAAATTGTATAGAAAAAGAGTCCTCAAATAATTGCAACTTTTATAATTGGACTAAAATTAGAATTTTCTTAGTAGGCCTAATATGAGGGACCAAACCAAAGCAATAATTCAGCTGCGAAAAAAAAAAATAATAATTCAGCTGCGAAAAAAAAGAAGCCAGTCGTTCTACTACGGCATTACCAAAATGAAGAATCTTTTTTTTTTTTTGTGTCCGAAGCCTATGCTTGAATCTTTAATTTGAGTGGTGATTCGTGGAGGAAAACAGCAATTGAAAAGTTTTTCATGAAAATGATCATGAAAGATTTGTAACATTTAGATTATACTTAGAATAAAGCACTACACACCAATCAAGGTAATCTAAGAGTTACAAATCTTTCATGGTCATTTTCATGAAAAATTTTTCATGATCCCTAACATTTCTCGGACGAAAAATATAGGGAAAATCAACCCCTCCTCCCAAAAAAAAAAATTTGTTATTTTTTCCTTTTTTTTCTTCCTATTCTTTCAAAAATTCCTACTCAAATCTAAGATCTAAATACATATTAAGGCTATGTTTGGTTCATGTATTTAGAAAGATATTTGAATAGGAAAAAGAAAAATGTATGTGAAATATAGTTATATTTTCTTCATATTTTCACCTACATTTTCCCTTTTCCTTTCCAAATTCCTCCTCAAATCCATGAACTAAACATAGTCGAAGAGACTCAACTTTTCTCGTTATTTAGGACTAGGTCCCCTAAATATTTTCATTTACAATAAAATAAAAGATTCCAGTCTCAAGATTGGATTTTCGTTTCAGAATTAAGATATTCTATGTATGGATCTCTTTCTTTTGTTGTTGCTGTTGATGTTATAGCTTTATATTATGTTTGGAACTTTTTTCTATTATAAATTGAATTTTACCAAGTTGTGAAGCAAACAAGACCATATCGTATATTTTTAAATTCTTGTAATGAGTTTTTTAAAATTTAATCTATGTTGACAAATTTAGTATAGAATTTAGTAATTATATTCTACAAACCTTGTGTGGGTAGTAGTATACTAGCCAAAACAAATATATATATATATATATATGTATAATTTTTATTTATCTATAATTTTCATTTATTTATTTAGGAAAAAGTTTGGAACCCCCAATTTGGAGACCCCTATGACCCCCAAATGTGTGTAATTGGTTCGTGTTTTTTTTTTTTTTTCCTTTTCCTCTCTCTTTCTCTCACACATAGGATGATGTAGGGGTGGAGTTTTTTTGGGGGTCTCAATCATTGCTCATTTATTTATTTGTGTGTAAATATATATATATATATATATAAAGCCTAGAGGTTCACTTAGAGATCAAAAGGTTCAAGCAGCCCTGTACAAAGTCTCCATAGTAACATGCACATTGTACCTACAAGGTAGGTGCCTAGCCATCGCCATCTACTCAAGTTCAAAGTAAAGTGGAGAAATGTTAGGTACATCAACAATTGCCTAAAATTTGACAAATGAATTACTTAAAAAAAAAAAAAAAAAAAACACTAGTTGTGTGGCTTAAGTTTTTAATTGAAATGTTGCACATGATATTGTCATTCCCTGCTGACAAATCTATTCAGTAATCCACCCACTTGTTGCACCCTAAACATGGATAAGGACATGATTGGAGAACATGTGTGAATAATATGGACTCCACAAATGTTTTTAATCCAATCCCATGTAACCAAAAAAAAGGCATAAATGAAGTGTTTACAAACACCATTTGATGCATTTCGCTGATATTTACCACCCTAACTATTATATTGATGACTCTTTGTGAAAACATAAACAGGGCATGAAACTCTTCCAATTCAACGACCTTTGCTGAGGATGGATTCACTACTAGACATTGAACAACCAGAAACCTTTCCAAAGGATGAAGGGAGTGACATGACAAACTCAGCAGACGCTTCATTACCCGTTGCAAGCATGCCAATACCTGCACCGTCAATAAGTATTTCTGGCATGAAATTAACACCATCCAGGTATTGCATTACTTGCCACATGCTAGGCCTAGCTGCTGGATTAGAGTGAGAGCAAAGCAAGCCCAACTTCAATACCAAATCCATTTCGTCTGCTGAATAATCACCTTCCAATCTAGGATCACTTACCCCAAGAATATCTCCTTCTTTCCATTTTTCAAGTACCCAGTCAACCAAAATCATCTCTTCAGGCATTCCTTGTAGCTCTATGGGTCTCCTTCCACAAGCCACTTCTAGCAAAAATGCACCAAAAGCAAACACATCGGTGCTTGTTGTAGCCTTGCCTGTTCTAGTAAGCTCTGGTGCAATGTACCCAACAGTGCCAACAACATGGGTAGTTTGTGGGTTTGCTCCATGATCATACAATCTAGCAAGCCCAAAATCTCCTAACCGACCATTTAGATCAGCATCCAGTAAAACATTGCTAGCCTTAACGTCTCGATGAAGAACAACTTGTTCCCATTCTTCATGTAAGTACTGCAAGGCAGATGCTACTCCTCTGAGGATTCGATAACGTTGAGCCCAATTAAGGGTTGGTTTTTCATTACTAAAGAGGAACTTGTCAAGGCTTCCATTGGGCATGTAATCATAGACCAAGATAAGCTCTCCCCTTCGCCGACAATAGCCAAGGAGCTGCACCAAGTTCCTATGCCTTAACCTTCCCATGCTAGCAATTTCTGTCACAAATTCCTTCACCCCTTGTTTTGAATCATGGTTGATTTTCTTGACCGCAACTTCTTCCTTGGAAGAGGGAAGTACTCCTCTGTAAACCTTTCCAAAACCTCCTGCTCCAAGAAGCTCTTCATCTTTAAAACCTTTGGTAGCTTTGTAGAGATCCTTGTAGAAAAACCTTTGAGGGCCATATTCATGTTCCCAATCTTCATGTATTTCTTCATATTTTTTCCTCCACAGAAAGAAAACAGTTCCTGAAGTTGTGATAATCAACACAATAGATACTGTTACCAATGAAACAGTAACTTGTAGGCCTGGAAAACGTTTTGGTTTCTTTTGTTTGGGAAGTGAAGGAAGCTTCGAAAAGTCTAGACTCTCTGCTTGTCCACTTTTGTTGAAGCTCCACCCAAGAATATAGTGGCTACCTCTAGATGTTCCAGTAGCAGAAGAGAAACCAACATACATATAATCGAAGAGAATTGAAGAAAGATCGATGTGGGTTGATATGAGAGGTCGATCTGGTTTCGGGATTCGAGTAGGAGCTATTGTTACCTGGAGTAGATTCTTTACTCCATCATAATCTATCCAAACTTGTATTGGATCCCCACTTATGAGGTCCAAACTCTTGTTTGTTCTTTCACTACTAGAATAATATGTTGCAGTCGCTGAAACATTAGATTTTAAGCTGTTAACATCGATTCCAACATGGTTGTCATCTATATCATCGAATTCAGGGCTCTTAATAGTATCAAGCTCAATTGCGAACAGATGGTTTGAATCGAGACCATTGTTGGAAGAATTGAGGAGCCCCAAATACTGGCTTCCTACGGCTTGGCTGAAATCTGTAGATGGTGAGATGGTAAAGGCAACCCCATGGCCGCTAAGATTTTGTATTTCGGGAATGATAGCAAAGACAAAATAGGTGGAAAATGAAAGAATTTGGGGTAACCCAGATGAGGATGAATTGAATCTTATAGGAAGTTGGTGGAAAGCATGGCCAGTTTGTTGCTTGGAAGTGTTGGTGAGCTGCAATAGACCATTGGGATGGATTTGTGCAATCCCATCAAGATGGAGATTGACACCCTGGAAGCCATTGTAGATGAACTGGTTTTCATCTTGAGCTAAGGCTAGGATTTTCAAGCATAGATAGAAAAGTAGAAGAAAATAAACTGGTTTTGGAGTGGTAGTCATTTAGAAAGAGGAGGAAAGAGTTTCTGCGGCAACGAGTTTCTTCGGATTTTAATTTGTGGGTTGTAATATTTGGGTCTTTTGGTAGTCTTTTGATAGTCTCTTGATATGCGTAATATGGCGTTTTTCAACCACACATGGAGTCCCTGTGGGAAAGGGTGACACGAGTCAAGAACCACAAATAGGGAGGACAGCTAGTCAATTAGGAAATCAAATATTGAGACTTCTATAATAATAACTCTACAATAATTTTTAATGTAGTAGTTGCCATGTCATTTTCATGGCAAGTAAGGTTAAGAATACAGAATGAATCACAAAATAATTTGTAAAAAATATAATAGGTAGTTGAATTAAATCCAATTATGATAGGTTAATATTCAAAATGAATCTCAACTTGTCAATATTTATTTTGTATTGGGTAAATTATACTTACCTCCTCTAAGGTTTCTGACAATTACAGGACCCTCCTCAGTAGTTTCAATAATTACACCAACTTTCCTAACTTCTGAAATTATTATCTAGATTTTTCAAATCTGTTAAATTTTGTACAAACAGCGTTAGTTTGGTGTAAAAATAACCATATTACCATTTAATTTGCATGTGAAAAGATAAAAATACCCGTAAATTAATTCATTCGTTATCAATATGGATAAATTACACTTGCCTCCCCTAAGGTTTTGTATATATATTATCAACGACCCACATATTTTAGCATTATTTAATAAAATTCTCAAATTTCATGCAATATTAAATAAAACCATTAAATTGTTAAGACATTATTAAAATATTTAATGGAAAAAAATTAATTTTCATTGGTAAAATACTTAAAAATAAACAATCTCTTTAAAATTAATGTTAGATAACATTCTAAGAATTTAATATAAGACTTATTTCACACTACATAAATAACGTAAAATTTATCATTTTAAATAATGTATTTATTATTTGAATTTTTTTTAAAGTTGAAATAAATGGATTTTTTTTTTTTTTTGCAATTTGCATTACTTAGTTATTCATACGAAAAAAAAAATATTATTTTATCTTTTTTCAATCATATATTATTCTCAAATTTTAATTTTTATCTTTGAGTCATTAAATTTCTAATCGATCTATATTTTAAAAAAAACGCAGGTTAATATTTCTTAAAAGATTAAAGAAAATAAATATATGAGTAAAAAACTCTTACCTTTGCTGAGGTTTCTGACAATTAAACCAAACTCATTCATTATCAACATTAATCTTAACCTTAAACGTACTAAATTTAATTTATCCTATTAAATATATGTGAAATTATTATTTATTTTTCATAACTTTTCAAAATATAAATGTAATTTTTTGACTATATTTTTTTCCACAACAAGCTTTTGAACTTTTATAAACAAAAAATAAAATAAAAATTCAACCATTAATGAAGGTGAAAAATTAATTTTAAATTTTAATTTAATAAAAATAATTTAAATGAGATAAATAAAGGTGGAGAAATAATTTTTTTTTTATTTTTTTATTTATTAAGATGGTATAACATATGAAAGGAAGCAACTAGCCAGCCTCATTAGCAGCAACATCAAACAGTGACAATGGGACCTTCTCCATCCACAATTGCTGGTGGATCAATCCTCTAGCCATCCTGGCTAATCCATGTGCCAACATGTTACCACACCTAACAAATTAATTGAGGATTTTATAATTATTAAATAATTTTTTCATTTAAGTAAAAGTTAATTTTAATTTTAAGTATAAGAAACAATAAATTGCTTGAATTGTCTATTATTCTCCAATAATTTCAAATTGTTGGAAAAAATAAATAAATCTATTTATTTCAACTTTAAAAAAATTCAAATAATAAATACATTAATTAAAATGATAAATTTTACATTGTTTATAGAGTATAGAACAAGCCTTATATTAAATTATTATAATGTTATCTAACATTAATTTTGGAGAAATTGTTTATTTTTAAATATTTTATTAATAAAAATTAAAGTTTTTTTCATTAAACGATTTAATAATGCCTTAATAATTTAAGAATTTTATTTAATATTGCATGAAATTTAAGAAAAAAAAAATTTTTGTGAAAAAGACATACCTTTTATTAAATAATGCTAAAACATGTATGGGTATTTGATAATATGTCACGACCCGCTCTCCGTACTCAAGGGTTAAGTATCGTGATGGCCAGTAACTGAAGTTACCTACGGCCAATTATTGAATAAATAAATAAACGAGAGTGGAAATAATATTTAAGTGAGGTATCAAAATAATCATTAGAACTTCTATTTAATTAAATTGTTAAAGTTAAACTATGTTTACAAAGTGTTTTGTACCTACCCCATATGTCACCTGAAAGTGGTAAATAACTATAAACACATAGCAAAGTGAAAAATATAATACTAAGAACATAAAGGCATAAAATTCACTATGGATAATTATGGGGCTAAACAGAGCTTAATATTAAAACATAAAATATACAATATAGAAATCATTTGACATATAATATAGAAATTATATATACAGAATAATGATAACCACGGTACATAACAGAACAAATGTATGGACTCAAAAGGTGGCTCATACGAACTCTAGAGGTGACTCCCACAATAGTGTAACACTTAGCTCCGTACAGCACTTTGCTCCACACCAGAATAAGATTCAAGAGGTGGCTCGTACAAAATCTAGAGGTGACTCCCACAATAGTGTAGCACTTAGCTCCGTACAGCACTTTGCTCCATACCAAAAATCAGAGTGTCAGTGGATTCATTGCAGATAGAGGGTCACAAAGTGACTCATCAGAGGGCCAATAGTTATTTATGTCTCCCAAGGCATGAGACATCTGTGGTGATACTTATAACATAATTACTCAAAACACATTTTAATAAATAGTTATGTCCATGAGTTTTCCTTATTATATAAAATATGGTTCATAAATTAAAAATGCTAATATAATTTATAAAACACAAATTACGTAAAATAAATTATGATAACTCAAAATATATATAAAATATATGATGATGACTCAAGATATAATATAACTCACCTTAAAATTAGGCTTAGTTTGAGAAGACTAAATAAGTATACTTTTTGACTTTTTATGAAATATAGGTTGGGTTTGGGTTGGGTTTGAAGTGATGTGTTAGAGAAGTAATGTGACTTAAATAAGATAATATGACTTAAATAAGATAATAACTTTTTAATTTTTTATCTTTTTTCAATCATGTCAAACTTGACCTTAATATCTCACCATTTTTTTCTACTAATAAGAAACTTCTGTACTTCCAATATTTTATTCTCTTTTCTTTTTGTTTTCCTCAGCTCGAACATCTCCTCCATAAATAAGGAGGCAAATCGTGGGTCCCAAGCCACAGCTCATACACGTGGCTCTTCCAAACTTTCTCCCTCAATCCAAGCTTATCCATGAGTCACTACACTTATGCGTGCCTAATCCTAGGCTATGCGTCACTTGCTTTGATTTTTTTTTTTTTTATAATATATAATCCCTAATTTCATTTTTTTCGCATACAATCATAACATTCAATATTTTATTTCTCTTACGAAATATTTAATTAAATATTTAGGATTTTTCTCATTTATAATTAAATAATACTGATATAAAATTTAAGGAATAACTTAAATTTTCAGGTTATTACAATCTTCCCTCTTTTTAAAAATTTCGTCCTCGAAATTTATCATATATGTAGCTATCCGCTACGCACTCTGATAATATATATATACATATATATCAAGAATAAATTTGATAATTAACCTGATATAAAATATTGCTAAATCATTACCTCAAAAAATTACTAAGAATTCTAATTTGAACCTATATCAGTTGAATGTGATCCTAATCAAATTTCCAAAATCATCCACAAGAGCGTGATTTTCTTAAGGTTCAATATTTATATTATTTATCACAACATAATATATAACTTTATAACTATTATACTACTACCAAAAACAACTCACTATTTATTCACTAAAAACTGTTTTGGGGCCAAAATGAGAAACAATATGTGATTTTAAAAAAAATTCATTAGTTTTGTGAAAGATTATAGATTTGAACCCACTTCTAAAAAGTCAAAATGAATTTTTCTTTTTCTTTTTCTTTTGTCAAACGCTACGGAACATATAATACAGATTTTTTTTTTTTTTGTAATTTTTTTTTTTCAAACTATTCTGCATGAAAGATACATACAATTATATATAGAGTAACAAATCACTCATCTTAATTACCATAATTATCTATACCATGATTGTTGTTACACAAATATTTAATTTAAATACAACTTGTAATCTAACTCAATATTTCCCCCATCCTATTTATTTGTGCATGTGTCTTATACTCCAATGCTTTTATAAAAATAATTTTAAAAACCTAGGTTCTAATACCACTTGTCACGACCTGCTCCTCATACCCAAGGGTTAAGTATCGTGATGGTCAATAACTGAAATTACTTATGACCAATTCTTAAACAAATTACTAAACGCGAGTACAAAAAATATTTAAGTGATAGTACCAAAATAATCATTGGAGCTTCTATTTAATTAAATTGTTAGAGTTGAACTATGTCTACAAAGTGTTTTGTACCTACCTCACGCGCTGGCCTTGACATGTCTCTTGAAAATTGTAAACAACTATAACCACATGGCAGAGTGAAAAATATTATACGAAGAACATAAAGGCATAAAATTCACCATAGATAATTATAGGGCTAAACATGGCTTGATATTAAAATACAGAATATATAATACGGAAATCATTTGACATATAATACAGAAATTATATAAACAGAATAATGATAACCACGGTACAGAACATAACAAATGTATGAACTCAAGAGGTGGCTCATACGAACTCTAGAGGTGACTTCCACAATAGTGTAGCACTTAACTCCGTATAGCACTTTGCTCCACACCAGAATAGGATTCAAGAGGTAGCTCGTACAAACTCTAAAGGCGGCTCCCACAATAGTGTAGTACTTTGCTTCATACCAGAAATCAGAATGTCAGTAACAGACAAAGGGTCACAAAGTGACTAATCAGAGGGCTAATAGTTACTGAAGTCTCCCAAGACATAGGACCTCCGTGGTGATACTTATAACATAATTATTCAAAAGACATTTTAATAAACAGTTATATCTATGAGTTTTTCT